TGCAAGCTTTGCAACGATGCATGTCATGTCGCCATGCCTAGTATACGGCGCGCACACACCAACAGGTACCAGGGCACTGGGACATGATGACTTACAAAAACACATATAGTAAGTAGTGAGTAGTATTGCTTGTGAGCAAGAGCGAGACGACATGTGGTACTGACAACACTCACAAGGTTATAAACAGAGGGTAGTATTGCATGTCCTCATCTTCTAGAAAGAACTTATGTTTCTTGCAGTTGCTGTCCACAGCAACTCTGTCTCGCAAAACGGCACGGTTATGCAACTCAGAAAAGCAGAGCGCACAATCCAACTTTCTCTCAAAACGACACGGTTATGCGAATCAACAATCAGATCGCACTGAATCTTGCCTCCCGCATATGCTCAACACCCCAGCCTGCCAATACCCAAACGGTAAATCGGCAACCGAACCCGAAGCTAAACCCGAAACCCAAACCCGAAACTCCAAGGTATGCCGACTTTTGCAGAGTCATGTCTCAGAAGGTCCAATTTGGGCGGCATCTCAACCGGCAAATGTACAGGTAGCAAGCGGTTTAGGGTTACATACAGCGCTTTATGAGTTCAGGGGTTATTGCTCTTGGTGTTTCGATTTTCGTTTACGGGATCTAGGTCAGGGCTTGGTAGTTGAAGGCGTTCTGGTTTCGGAAGCTTCGTCAGTAAATGTTGAAGTTCTTTCCTTGGTGACTGATTGGTATTTTGGGAGTTCTAAACCAACCTTAAGCCCTAAAGCCTAAACCCTAAACCCCTTCCGGTTGTCCAGGGGGTTTCGAGGTGTCCGAGGCCAAACAAAATTCAATCGATTTAGGGTTTAGGGTTTTAGGCTTTGTGGCAGGGTATACGCTGGCTACGGACAGTTTTTGTAGACGTACAGGGTGTTTCGGGCGGTCAAGGTACCATCGAAATTGTGGTTACAAGGCTGAGAAAAGAGACACTAAGCCAACCGACTATTGTTCTGGAACGTGTGTAGTGCTTAGTAGGGAATGGGGGAATATGGGGACTACAATGGGGATCCATTCCCCCGTTCCCTACTAAGCGCCAGACAGCCAGATTTAGGGGTTCCCAAAACCCCAAACTCTAAAGCCTGCAGGCTATAGAATGGCCTTCTAGGTGGCAATTTGAAAAACTTTTCAATTTCCCTTATGGTTCCGACAGAGGTACCTATTCATAAATACTTTGCAGAGCCCCAAAACTACAACCCAGCCTTGCATACCATTTCAAACCTAAGATTCAGGCATTCAGCGCGTTGAACATAAGAGCCACGGCAGCCACGACCTGTGGTATTGTTTTTCGCGGTAGTAGGGCCTGCCAAAATTCTGGCACCTGAGCGTACCACATGGATCGTAAGTTTTGTGTTGAGTTTTGCGAAGCATTTGTGTGGTCTAGGATGTGTGTTTTTGGGATTTGGCCTGTCCGATTTGAGGGCTTTGGCTTCGTCGCTTCACACCGGTTCCGGACACGCACGCGAAGCTGCTTTCGCATCTGTGCGGTTGGGATTGCAACGTTTATCTGTCAGAACGTGTTGGCAGCTTGCAGACAAGCTGACAGCGAGCTTATGACGGAAGCCATCATAGAAGCGTTGAAGCGACCATCGGCGAAGATGCATTTACCAAAGGAAACAGTGAAGGGACCTCAGGAATCCTACAGCCTAGCACCCTCATTAAACTAGCGCAAGTTAGCTCACCAAAGCCGGACACTGGAAACCAAGAACGACAGGAACTCGAGCAATGTAGGTCCACCTGCACCAGAGATACACCTGCCGAAACCCTAGAGCCTAAACTCGTTTACAGCTTCACTTCAGCTAAAAACTCTTTGTATTAAAAAATTCGGTGCACTCTCCGTGAGCCCCAGCGGCTGGAGGCTTATCACAAGCCATGTGATCTCTGGTTTCCGGTTTAGGACGGATGTGTTAAACCCACATGAGACACAGGATTCACAAGCCATCCAAACCTGAGGCCTAGGACTGAAAAACTTGATTTCGTACAGGACCCCAAACGGTAAAGTGTCTTGGATGGATCGAATCTGCTCAGCCGCAAGACTATCCACCAATTACCCGGAACCATCCATGTTCATACTCTTGTCTTCGAAGTTCACGCGTCTCTACGTTAAGGGCTTCATCTTGAGTGTTTCTTGTCATCCTTGTACGATCCGCACTGCTCGCCAGCCGCTTGGACATCACTGCTATATTTGCGACTTGCCAAGTTGCGAACACAAAGCGCGTAAAAAGAAAAGGTACGCCTGACGCCATGTGCATGGAGTTGCATCGTCTGATATTTCCAGTCACTGAGTGCAACCAGCATGCACGCGAGCTGAAGATTGGGTATTCCATACGGATGCCTCCAAGCAACAAGCATAGCTGGTTGCAAACATTTGTGTTGCTGCCCTAGGGTTTAGGGTTTAGGGTTTAGGGTTTAGGGAAAACACTTCAAAACCACGAATAAACGATTGCCTCGCGGGTCGCATGACGTGAGAAGTCAGCGCTTGACCGTATAAGTTATAGGATTGAGAGACCCTCACCCATTGTTATGTTATATGATTTAAGCCGAACCATGCTACGGTTTGTTTCTCATATCATTCAATCAAATGTACTTTCATATATCTGTGTTGGAAATTGCTTGGTAATTTGAAGCAACTACAGATTTGCGACCAGGTTCAGGAAGGTCTGGAACCAGACTGGGACGCGGGTCGGAGGCACTCGTTTAGGTCGTACCGACCGCCGCCCCATTTATAAATTTGATAGATTATAGAAATAAATATATAACAATATATATATATGCCTTAGGGTTTAGGGTATATATATATATTTATTTATATATATATATATATATTCTTTTAGATTCTAGATCACTCTTTCTAATCTTATATTATGGATTGATAATTGATTCGAAATATTACTCAATTTTAGATGAGGGAATAGGTATTTGAAAATTTTGATAAATTCTGATAATTTTAATCGAAATAATATAGATCTATCAAATAATATATGAAAATGAAGATTTATTCTTCTTATATATTCATTCATTTTCAATATATAATTTAAAATTGATAGATATATATGATATATATATATATATTTCTAATAAAATGAAATCGCCAATTTTTATTATTACGTTTATATGCGTGGTCTGTAATCTATATCTTTGAAATTCTCTGGAATTTTCATAAAATTTTTCGTTAGTTCTTGTAAAACGAGACTTTGATGGTAATTCATAGGAATAGCATCTATGAATTTTTTTTCTATGAATCTCAGATTCTTAATATTTCTACTATATATATATATGGTCGATAAAATAACGAATAATGAGGTGACCATTAAATAAAATATGAAATTTATATGCATAAAGTAAATATAAAATAATGAAATAATGAAAGATATCATTTTTATCAAATCTTTATATCTATATTTTTTTGTATTTTTATAAGAATATAATTTCTCAATATATAATATTCATCTCGGATCGTTCATCAATTAAAATATATCAAGTTTAAATAATAAAATTCATTTAAGGCGAAGATATATATATATATTTATATTTATTTATCTCTAAGATAATAGCTACGATTCTTCTATAGATATTCCCCATACGATTCCGATATGAAATCAAATCTTTGAGAAACGAAATGATCACGAATCCAAATACGAGCCAACCATTAATCTAGATACGAACCGAACCCGAAAGGTTCAGGAATCCAGAAACGAACCGAATAAGAATCCATCAAGAATGACCATTAAATTATTACGCATCGTACAAAGAGTCTTTCTTATCTATATCAAATCTAAAGAATCTATCTCCATAAGAATATCATCCCAAAAGAAATAGAAATTAAATATTATAACTTACCACCACCGATTTCCTAAAATTATTTGAATCTCCGCGATTTTATTATCGGAAGAGAAACGCTCACAATACTAAATTTTCATTTTCAAGTCACGCGAGGTAACCATCTAAGAGACTTCTATTAACAAACCAAAGACCAAATTAGAGCGCAGAGAGACAAACGCAAGCAACACCACAACATTCTAATAGAGAGTAATCCTCATAAAATCGATATATGAATAGATATATACATACATATTTTTTCAATTTGGTAATCATACTATTAAGAATAAGTATTAAGTATGAATTTTATAAATCGTATTTATAATAGAAAATTATTCATTAGTAAAAATATATCGAAAAGAATATAAAGATATTTGACTTATCAATCATTTATTCATATAAAGACATCACATAAATTTAGATATGTGATTCAAGGGCATGCGCTCCACTTAGAAAATCTCGTATCTCGGAAATCATATCAGGCAGGACCTATCTTGTCCCGTCGACTAGATGTTATTCCTATCCGTAATACCGACTTTTCTTTGACATATCTAACGTCTGCCCCAATTTTCAGAACCAAATATTGGAGAAATAACTCTCATAATTATAAAATAGATTATATAATATTGAGAGCTTCCTCTATCATCACCAGGAAGCAATATTCTAAATTCTCATGTCATGTTCCCCGACTTTGCGGTAGAGCCTTGGGTTTCTGCTAAGATCGCAAGCCTAGGCAGGCACAGGTCTCTGGGTCGGAGCACGAGTTGAACGGCGTGACTCACCCAGCGACACTTGCGATGAGGAAGCCTTCTGCCGGTACAAATCCGTGATGCCAATCCCATACGCAATCCAGCTGGATGCCCAAGTTTCTAGCTCGCGTGCATTGCGTGCTTTGCAAGCAGTAGATCTCACCACGAGGTGTCCGAGACTTCCGACGGCACTGAAAGACGCACGGCTCGGACTCAATGCAGCTAACAAAGTTCCAACCAGTAGAGGAACTCAAGAACTTGAGGAACTTGACTTTCACCTCTTTTTGCTTCAAGGGCTCTGGGCCTGAGACATCGGTTTCTTGCTTGTGCCTTTCGGGGATTTCGGGGCGGTCTGCGATTGAAGCAGCTACTGGTGCCGTCGGAGTTTACAGGTCAAGGTCCGGAGCTTGACTCACGGTATCGTCTCCGGCTGTCTCCCAGGTGACAAGGTTTTCCATAGAAATGCATACCTCAGACATTACGAGCCAGGCAGACGTGCCATGCAAAGCAAATACCCTCGCCGAAAGCTTAACTGGCGTAGCACAAGTAGGTTTCCTAAAACCTACACCCTTGAACCGTTGGGGTGTGGGTAAGGATTTGGGTCCAGCGTTCGCTATCAAGAGCTGCACATCTGAACAACCTGGTTTCAAGTAGGCGAATAACTAGAAGAGGGATTTAGGTTGTTGTCGGTGAGGACGCCGGGTGCGCGTCCTGTGCGTCTTCTACTGTAGCACTTTCTGGGGTGGTGGGGGGGGCTGTTGTCAAGATTCTTGCAACACACCTTGTGAGCTCCACATCCTTATATGCATATACATGCATATCTACATACAGGTATATGTGTGTATATATATATATATTTTTTTTTACATATGTGATTCCACATCCTGTGAAACTCTACATCTTTGAGGCTTCTGCAGCTTGCCCCCAAGTCCCGATCCTATGCTTGCTGCTGCAGACCTTCAAAAGTCCATATATGCCCGACCCTAAGTTTCCTGCAACACACCGTCAGAACTGACTTACACATTTTTAGAAGTTTTTAGAACTCTGCATCATTGCAGCTTGCTGAAGCTTGCGGAGGGGAGCAGTGCTTACTCTCGACATCATGCGACTACCTTTTGCAGGCAGGTCCAAAGACCTGCAGCTCTAGTCGTGATCGAACCCTTGTCTGCGCGTTCTCATGTGCAGGTTCGAGAACCTTTGGCAGCTTCTCTGAGTCTGTCTGTTTGACGTGTCTTCTCAACGCACTGGAACAGACCAACCAGGCATGCTATGGGGGCTCCGTACCTGTCGGCCGTCCCCAGCTCTTTGGTTTCAGAAAGGTTCTACCCTCTTTGATTTCAGATGTGTGTGGAGCTCTTTCAACGCTCCAAGTTCCTGCAATGCAGTGCTCCCAAAAGTGGTTCTTATTGCAGTGCCAGCACCATGTTCCCTAAATCGATCGACCGGTTATAAGGATTTTGCGCCGTTCCCAGCACAGCGTTTTAGACATAATGCTCATTTTGCTGGGATTCCTGGGTTTTAGCACAATGTTCATTGCCTTTTTCAGCTATGCCACAAAAACGTCGGTCACCCACTCATTTTTGACGAGACACTCAGTGATAAGATCTCACCGATCCGCAGAAAACAATCTGCCCCAGATTCGCTTTGTGAAGGCCGTCAGACCAAGTAGATTGCAACGATTTTCTTTGGTAACGTCGGGGCCGGGATATTACTGGCGGATCAAACACTGTACGTCAAGCGAAGTAGGGATCTGGCACAAGGATCAAGGTTTCACCATTTATGCTGACAGCTTGAACCTGGAATTGAGAGACACTCCTGCAGAACAGCGGCTGTGCCACCTGCATGAAGGCCCGTTGCTTATTGTCAGCAGCGCCGCCGTGCCCACCCTCGATGTTTTCGTAGTAGAATGTCTGGTCCTCTTTGGGAAGTCTCTGGTAAAACTTGAACATCGTGATGAATGTGTTGAGGATGCAAGCAACAGCTCTGGGCAAAATGGAGACGCCTGTGGATTTGGGCAGTTCTGTTGTACCATACGAGTAAATATACCCTCTCAGCATGCCTGCTACCCCAACAGCTTCTGGCCCGAAAGCCCTAACGATTGCAAAAGCCACAAGCCAGCTTCAACTGCTGGGGATCATGTTGGCTGGTGCTTACGTTGCGCCCTTGGACTACAAATCGTGAACCGACCTGAAAATTCGCACCCTCAGCCCTTGGGTCAAACGGCCGCGAATCGTGAGTCCTGAAAGCCTGAACTCGCAACCTAGATGCCTAAAGCTGTGTCTCAGCCAATCAAAACCAACCCTCCGTCACAAAGCCGTCATGATTCCTTCCTCATTTGTCTGACCCACCTCCCTACCCTTCTGCGCACAGGCTTGACGAATGCCGGCTGCCGGCCACTGTCGACTATCCCCCCACGCACTAAGTCCCTAAACCCATTTTTCTGCAGCAGGCCTTGTTGTCCATAAGCCCGACCTATTCTAAATCCTATACAACTAAACCCAATGCATTACTATTAACTACTACAACTACTACAACAACAACTACAACTACTACTACTACTACTGCTACTGCTACTGCTACTACTACTACTACTACTACTACTACTACTACTACTACTACTACTACTACTACTACTACTACTACTACTACTACTACTACTACTTTACTACTCTTTCAGCATGGGCTTGGAGTGTGCCAGCCCATGCCAGCCCTAAATCCCCAAACCCTAAACTAAATCCTACACCCCTGAACCCTAAATCCACACTTTAGGCTCTCCTTGGCCGTGGGATGACCCAAGAGCTTTGCCACCATCTTCCGAGCGTGGCCGGGGTGAACCCTGTCATCCTTCAGGTTACCCAGAGAGCCCAACACCTTAGGTACGGCCCCCCATACAGTAAGAGTCTATAGTAGGGCTATTTTTAAGGTCCTACTATATCTATATTATGAGTATTATTCAACTATTACTGAGTGGGGGCCGTACCCAACCAATACCATTTAAAGAAGCAGCATACCTGACTTAAGTTAGACGGGGCTTCATGTTTTCATTTCGGCAGGCTTACGGTTTTGAGGGGCTTCCCGAAAAAGGCTGTAGGGTCCATTGGCTCGGTCATGAAGATCCTCGGCCAAAGGCTCGTGAGAAAGTCTTTTCAAAGGAGTCCACTGCATCTTAGCAGCATGGAGACCACCTTAATCACTTCGGCTTGCTGAATCAGGTTTCCAAGGAGACGTAGGGGATGCAAGCTGCTGTGTCCTTCGTGGATGTGACGAAGAGCGCCGGTGGGTAGGTCTTGTCATCAGACAGGTTGTGATATGGTGAGTACTGCTTCAGGAATTCCTCCCAGTCGCTGGTTGTAGGGTCACCTCGCGAGCCCATGAGGCTTCAGGGTTGGGTTTAGGGTAGCGGAATCACTTCTGCGAAACATCATGCCAAGCTAACAGAGGCCTGTAAGCGCAAATATGCAAAGAGCGGCTTCAATCTGGAGGCTTATGAAAAACATGGTTGCGCGCTCAGGCTTATCGTCAGCACCTCCCAACACGACGCGACACTTAGACGCAACCCCAAAAGCGAATAGCTGCAGTACCTCGGGGCCTTCCATGCAAAGCAAATGGAGAAGTCACAGGGAGACCAGTTCATTCCTGCTCTATGTCTCCAAGTAGCCGTATTCTCCCATCCAACTAGCTCCAGCTAGAAGCTGGCTATATCTCCTGGGCTTGGGGCGCCCGGGGTTTGGGGTTCAAGAAGGCGTAGGAAGCTAGGAGCATGCAGCTGTGGGTTGAAAGCAGCTAACCAGCAAGAAACCGTTATGTTTAATCCTAGCAGAAATCTACACTGAAACGCACGGCACGGCAAGGACACGACTGCGACGTGAGAAGGTTGCCCGGCGTTTATTTATGAAAACTCGCTCGAGGCTATACGGCACGTGTAAAGCTGGTTCATACGTAGAATTTTCTGAATTTTCGATCTACCTAGGTCTAAGTTTCAAAACAAGCATCTACCTAGCCACTTAACTATCTATCTGACCCATCCAGTGGAGGCTATGCACATTCCCAGAAGTCCAAGCCGGGAGTCTGCATGTCAAGCAACGGCACCTGGCACACGATCGCGCCAAAGAGCTCCTGGAAATGTCAAACTTAGGGTTCGGCTCTCTCGGACAGGGCGAGGCATATGTGGTTCGAGGTCTGATGAGACAACAAAAGTTGAGGGTTTAGGGTTGTCAGAGTTGGTCCGGTTTTCTTGTATTCCCCGAATACGTGTACACACTCGATCTTGTCTCTGCAGCTCCTCTCCAGACAATATTCATGCTGCAGGTTGTTTTTGGCTTTGCCTCTGATGACCTTGCGAATTTCAGAAACTTAAGCGACAAGCTCACGCTTGACCCTCGGCAACTTGCTGCGAAAGCAGGCGCAATTGAGGACAAAACTTACCTCGGCGGTACCGACACCTCAATCATTTTATTGTCCATGCTTAGCTTCTCCCGCGCGCGTGCCGAGAGCCTCGAGCCAATCCAGAATTACCGGACATCGGCCAATATTCCTCACAAAGGTTTGACGGTTTGCACCCTATGCTCTGGACCCTACACTTCGACGTCGAGAACCGTCCTTCCGCAGAAACGATGGTCGTGGCACTCTTTAGTCGAAGTCCGTGAACAGCCCTCAATTAGGGAACACCTGTAAGCTGAAGAAGTTCGTCCGGACGGTGTTGCAAGCTCTCTGGGCAGATGGGACAAGCAGAAATGGAGGAAGCTTCGAGCGCCAAAGAACGTCAACATCCCTTCATCACGTGACATGTATTCCCTATAACGCAGAAAGGACCCTGGATGCAGGACCCGGAAATCGCAGGATTTCAAAACCTCTGGCGACTGCGGATGGCTTGGCGTCTATTTGAGACTGATGTAGGTATACATGACGCATACTATGCGAGGCCATTTCGTGAACTGCTTATGATTTTGGTTCTGGAGTTTATGGGGGAACCCTAAACCCTAAGACAGCCCTCGTGAACTGCTTATGATTTCGGTTCTGGAGTTTATGGGGGAACCCTAAACCCTAAGACAGCCCTTCTGGAGCTTTGGGAAAGGAGCTCCGGATAGAGGATGCAAAACCGTGCAAACGGATTGCGAGCTCGGGAAGTATGGGTCCCAATGACCTAACCATGTATCCTGCTTGGATCCTATTGTAGGACCCTGAAAAATCCTATCTCTCTCTGTCTTTAGGTCTCTCCCCTGCTTGCGCACTGCTGATGGGCCTCCCCTGCAAACGGTGCGGGTCAGCACAGAAGAACGGCGAGGGCACGCCCCGAACCCGACATGTGCTGTAAGAGTCCCCCAGTGGGCGCATCAGCCCCTCGCCCCACTGTCATATGCCACCGTGCTAGCACGTTGGCCTCAAGGGACCCTGGGTGGGGTGCCTGGATCTATTAAGCCGTCCGGTCCAAACAGACGCGGACGCATGAATTATCCTCGCACGCAGCGAGGGTGTATGATTCCAGACACTCCAAAACCCCCCGCAACGTGCCCCACACCCGGCCAGCGGTGTGCGAGCTGGTATTAAAACAGCACTTGCATCAGCTCGTGGGTAGGGCGGAATGCATGCTCCAACACTGGCAAGTCCCGTGTGCTGTAGACTGCCTGCACAATAGTACAAACCCGGACGAACCGAATAGCCCAGCATGGGTGCAGCATGCGATGCTTCTAATATTCTATCACTTCCGCCTGGCTCTTAACACAGTGCCGCAATACCTGCAGCAAAGCCAAACAATACAGGGGGACTGGGTTCCAACTCTTCCAGTCCAGACCTGCATTGCAAGATCTTGTGATCGTGAACTGCCACGTATAGTCTGCTTTACCACTACTTGCAAGTAAAAGCCTGTGGATTCAGAATTACGGCACATCAGCACATTGCTGCAAGAAGAACTGCCAAGATAGAGCATGCTGAACAACGTGAGGAGGCAATGCTGCCAGCACATTTAAACGAGACAGAGGTCTGCCTAATATAGGGGCCTTAATAATTAGAATTAGGGTTTTGGGGGCCATTATTCTACAATTATAACAAAGGAGCCCCCCAAAATGCTGCTGGCAACTAGTTAGGCCCCTATATTACTTGCAAAGCAAATCTAATGGCCAGACCGGGGCGCCCTCTTTTCCCGGGTGAGCATATTTCCCATGAGCAGCCCGCCATTGGAGCCGCCTGCCAGGGAGCATAGCGGCTGCTTTTTTCCCTGTCGCATTGCTATGGCCGCTTTAGGGTGCAAGGTTTAGGATCAGCGCATGATTCCCAGAGAGCCCAATACCCCAGTTAGGGAATATAGCTTAAATATGCTTAAATCAAAGTATGAACCCCCTTAAAGGTATACTCCTTAATTAAGGGGTATTGGGCTCTCTGGGTTCCTGACCCACTTCGGTGGCAAGACTTTGTGGCCACCCAACAACCAAAAAGAGCAGACTGAACCATGCATTCCTGGCCTTCGACTGATTTGCATAAGGTTCCGGAACTGACTCTGACATGTCAAACCCTTTTGCATCCGGTCTGCAGCGCCTCTACCGGGTCCGCCCCATGTCAAACCCTAAACCCCTAAACCCTAAACCCTAGGAAGAGCATGGCCGCCACCTTGGATGCCCAAAAGTGCCCGGGTCGTCACACCGCGCCGGAGCAGGTCTTCTGCAACGGCCTGGCTTTGCTGCCAAAAGCCGCCGCTGGTCTACCCCCTATTTGCCCACGACCTACACTGTCTGCAACACGATGTTGTTCAAGGGCAGGGGTATGCCCTATACATACATACATACATACATAAGTATACATGTATATATATATATATATAATATGTATATACATGTGTTTATGTACGTACAGAGCTTACACACGCGCCACACACACGACTATATATTTATATATACACGTATATGTATTATATATAAAATAAACACATAATATATATATATATATATGTATGTGTGTGTGTGTATATATGTATCTATGTATATGTGTGTGTATATATATATGTAAGTTGTTGGTACACATGCTATTTGCACCCTTGTACATGACTTGTACATGTCGTATCAGGACCATCAGAGTTGACTCGTGCGATTCACTTTGGTTCAAGTAAAACGGGCTTTGCTGTGCTTGTTTTGCTGGCATTCATTGTGTCACGTCGGTTCCCTTCGTGAATATCTATAAAAATATACACACATATGTGCATAGGTACACACGCATATATATATATATATATAAATACACATGCATACGTACATAAATACACACGCACACACACATGTATGTATATATACATGTATATATATATATACACATGCATAAGAAATCTGTGTATATATATATATATATGTTTATATACACCCATCTACACACAAATATATATATATATATATATATATATATATACATACATACATACATATATCTATATATATCTATATATATCTATATATATATACATACACATGCGTACATATGCATCGAATCAGCAGCAATGGGGGAAATTGCTAGCAAGAAACAAGCTTGCAAATGGGTGCGGGCAAATAGGGGGGGGCGGCGTTTTTTCTAGTGTTCCTTTTGGTCTCATGATTAATTCCGGACAGGCAGGTTTTGGGCTTGGGTTTACGATTCGGAGAAGCCCGTCAATGTCGCGCTCGCAAATGCTCGCAAGTAGGCTTTGCAACCAGAAGGGTGGTGACAAAGAGATCCACATGCTAAGAAGCTGAGCGTTTGCCCCGCCAAAGAATCCCATGATTCCACAAGCCCTTAAACCCCCGTAACCGGAGGGGAATCCTGGGTACCGAACTAGGGAGCACAAGGTCAAGAAGGCCCAGGGACTTCAGAAAAGCTGAAGTGTGAGATCCTTCTTTGTATGTTGTTTGATGGGCGTGGCATGGCAGGATACCGAGCCTGGGGCAGAAGAAAACCTGAATGTCATTCGCTTAAGCCTTAAGCCCACTCTTCTCTGTTGCATCTTGCACATTGTTCTTGCCACACATCTGGGCAACGCCCGTGCCAGTACATGAGCTCACCGTTTTAAGTTTTTGTGAAGGCAGCCCTACATCTCGGAATGATAACAAAACTGGTTCAGCATTCGTCTTACAAGGGTCTCTTAGTCTCTTATTCAGATCTAAAGCTTGTACAGTATCATAGGATGCTGGCAAAGCCCAGGGCACCCTCACCGACGCCTCGAAGTCTTCGTAGGCCTTGTTACGATTCGCCTTCTTGGCGGATTGGTGCCACCTGACTCCAGAATGCAATCGCTCGCTCTCAGTTGAGCTCAGCCTCACAAGATGAAGGTCTCTCTGCAAAACTGCAGATCACCGCAACCGGATCAGGGGCCGTCTTCGGAACTTCAGTATCGTTGCTCTCTGACGGATGCGTTTAAGGTTTAGGTTTAGGGATAAGGGTTCAGGGCCAAAGAACACCAACCAGCCTCCATGCTTCCTGCCCTGCAACGCCCTACGCAAACCCGCCCTGCATAGGTTTCTGGCTGTCTGCGGCCTCCACATACTGAATCTGAACCAAGTTTGGAGAAACCCCTCTTCGACGTTCTGACCAGTGACAGAAACATACAGTCACAGAAACATAGCTGATGTAGGCTGCTAAGGTCATAAGATTTCGGGGCTTCAGAGGCTGAACAATCCAAAGCCTGACAAAGAGCTTGCTAAGACAGCCCCCAAGACCCAAGCCCTTAAAAACACAAGCCATAAAGACTGGACCCCTAAATACCTGCCCTAAACCCTTTTTTCCCCAAGCCCTAAAATGTCTGTGAATGCCAAGCAATAGTGCCAAACCCTACGCTAACAGTGTCGACCTCGGTCCGTACTCACCGCCGCCGCGAATGTTCGCATCAATCCAGACCTAAGGTTACGAGTCGTCATAAGAATTTTGACTGGGTTCATCGGGATTCTTACAAGTAATAATAAGGTCTCCTTTGTAAGGTAGGTTCAGGGTTCGGACTTCCGTTGTTTCGGGCTTTGGGGCTCTAAGGTTACGGGCTTTAGCGTTTGAGGGTCTCAGGGCTAACGGACTTCGGTGAAAAAAATCGAAGATGCCAGGCGAGTTTTTGCGAAGTCAGTTGGGGTTGGGGGCCTAGCCTATGTCTCAAACTACGCACATGAGATAACCGCGCGACCCTAGACCCTGAAACACAACTCAAAACAAAGCAAATGTTGGGCACTCCGATTGCAGGGCCTCGCATTTAGAAAGCCCCAGTAGGATGGCCATGGGTTTATTGCTTGGGCTTTAAGCTTTGCTTGGAGTCGAGGACTCCTTCCCACCGTTTCCGACCATAGCCTTAGGGTTTCAGCTTGGGTGCTCGTACAGCTACTACGCTCAGGCAGGCACGCGAAGCAAAGATCTTGCGACGGAAGGGATGGTGTTTCCTAAGTAAGCATCGCCACCTGGAACAGCCCCCACAGCCAAACTGAACCTGCCAGGCAACACCGCCGTGCTCTAGCCAAGCGATGCCTGTTTGCCCGGCTACGTTTCTGATTTCAGAGTGCAGGCTGTAGGTGCATTGAGCGGAAAGCCTTGCTGCCCAAAGCGCTTTAGACTGATTTGCCGCAGTACATACGACGCTCCAAAAAGCCTCTGAAGCTCGTGAACTGCAAAGTGACGAGTGTCCAGCAGTTACCCTCGAAAGGCCTGATCTACGGCAGCAAGTGAATTTTCAGAACCAAAGCTCTAGCCGCATTGCCCACTGTACACTACTTCGATGAACTCTTCGCCAGCCTTCAAAAAGATGAACTTGGAGAGCACAAGACCATTGAAAAGGTCAACACCTCTTTGCTCCTTTTGATACCAAGCCCCAACCTGTAAGATGTTGAGACGTTCTTACCTATATAAGGCTGCAAGATCGGGAAGCTGCTGTTGGACCCTGTCAAATTTGTCAGGGGTCGACGCCCAAGATTCATCATCGCAAGAATGACCACCACCCCACCCTGACCTCGTGCGCCCGAGTAGGCTGGCGTTAAGGAAATCTCGAAGCCGCCGTAGCCGTAAAGAAGCGTCGGGTTCCTGGATCTGTATACTCTCTTGGACTCTCAGCATGGACTACTTCTGAGATTCGGGCTGTTGGTTTAGGATCGGACTGATGTTACTGCATCAGATTTCTGGCAAACCATCAGCGAGAGCAAAACCACTGCAAAACTCGAGGAACCTCCTATTCCAGTCGATTTTTCTCTCAGACCGAATGAATTATTCGATCCTTGTAGAACATCCAAGCACGAACATGACAATCCTAAAGCGCACCAAAGCCGTCCGGAATTTAGAAAAGAAATGCAGATGCAACCGCCTGAACACTATGCCATAGACCCTCTTGAAGACCACTTTGATGGCTGCCTGAAAGGCAAATAAAACTCCAAGCAGCTCGCAGAGCTCGAAAGCAGATACCACGTGCCAAGCTTCGCAACACAGGCTTC